CCCCCCCGGACCCCATTAGAGTGGGGACATTTTAGAGTGGCCTTTTATTGTGGCCAGCCTAAGGCACACCTGTGCAATAATCATGCTGTCTAATCAGCATCTTGATATGCCACACCTGTGAGGTGGATGGATTATCTCGGCAAAGGAGAAGTGCTCACTAACACAGATTTAGAAAGATTTGTGAACAATATTTGAGAGAAATAGGCCTTTTGTGTACATAGAAAAAGTCTTAGATCTTTGAGTTCAGCTCATGAAAAATGGGAGCAAAAACAAAAGTGTTGCATTTATAATTTTGTTCAGTGTATATATAGCTTTTCTGCAGACATTACTCCAGTGTTCAGTATATGATTCTTCAGAAATCTAATATGCTGATTTGATGCTTAATAAACATTTCTCATTTTTTCTGTTTGTTTTTTTTTGGTTAATAAATTACAGCATAGCTTGATAAAATGTTTATTCAAAAGCACTTCAGTTCAAAATAGGTTCAGACATAACCAAAGAATGACTCACATTTTATTGAGGGATCTATTTGTGAACTTAGTAATAGCTCTGAACAATTTGCTGACTGAATGAGTCTGATTCGGTTCATAGGAGTCATTTCTTCTTTGCAAGAAAGAGTCATTGGTAAGAAAATCTGAAATTCATGCTAGTCAACTTCCAGCTATTTATAACATTATTTAAAGTGAAAACAGTTGTATTAAATTTCATAAATAAAAACATTAAGTATTTTTACTAAGAGTCTAGTCTTCTGAACCCTACCCAGTATATCAGTATTTCAACCAACAGCCACACTGTTCTCTTGGATATCAGTATGAATAGTGGCCATTTGACCACCCAGGCATTGGGCATCCAATTGATATCATATGTTGTCTACATTGCTTTCAGCCAATAGGTTCTGATTGTGACCCTGAGCTCACCTGGTACTGCACAGCGAGACTTCCTCCATCCCTCTGGGCTTGAGCACAGTCTCTCTCCAACTGATCTGCCCACGCTTTCAGCTCCCTCAGTGTCTTACGCTGCTCCCTCTGAGAGAAAAAAAGAGCGCCGTGTTAGTTAGGATTGTAGAAACAAGACAAAAAGCAAACATTTGTGCAGATTTAAGGCCCTTGGGGAGCTCTACACTCATCATTTGCTTACCTAAAGTAATTTAATGCATTTTAAACCCCCGACTCAATACAATTTTGCAGTTCAAACATGCATCACTAATGCCACATTTATAAATCCAACGCAGACTTTGCACTCATGCTGTTTGCAGAGTTCCTCTCCTCCATTGTACGGATCTGCCCCAAACCTCTCCACGGGGGAGCAAGAAATCAGCTCTGCGGGGGAGATACTAATCATTTTACACACATTTACCCTCCCTATTATGAATTAGGAACAAGAGCGAGAAAGTGAGAGCAGTGTTCAGCTAATTCTAATGAAATTAAGCCTACTCTTCCGGCGCTCGTCATACATTTTGGCATCCTCCACGAGGTAATGCCTTTGGGTCATCAAAATGATTATATCATGACCTTGCCAATGTCTACCGCGTGTTCTCCTCCCCGCCTCCCCGAAACGAATGCTGTCACAGGCATACAATGCCCTGAAATATTAAAACCTACATTGTCTCAGTTTAAATGTATAACAAAGAGGTGAAAATGGTTCAAATTACAGTGACTTTGAAACACGTGCAGACGGTGGCATGAGGGAACTAATGGTTTCTACAAAAGGACCAGGTGGTGACAGGATCAGTTCAGCGCTTCAACTTGGTTATGAACCATTATTATTTTTTAAAGACTGCTACTAATGCTAATCATCAGGTTATCAGTATCAACCCAAAGCCAAAGGTCGTTATTGTCATGCAAATGTCACCCAGTTGTAATGCAAATATAATAGAAAAGGGAGTAAAATTATACTGGGCATATCAAAGGTGTATAATGCCCTGGACTATTAAACCTGATCCACACAACATCCGCGCCACTCATGATGAAAAGGAAGGCAAAAATCCACTAAAAGGATTTTAAACTACATGGCACAGCAGCAGGTGGAAATAGTGGTGGAGCAGTCAAAGCAGGCATAATGTGTTTTATACAAGCAAACGTACCTCTAACATTTCTTCAATGGCTCGAGGAGCAAGATAAAACTTGAGACGAAAAGGGATGCACGTAAACAACAATACATTAGTGGACAAAACAGAGGGAGGAGTATAAAGAGAGAAATATAGTGTAAGAAAATGGTGAGTAGAGAGACGTGAATCCACAAATAAGACAGACTGTTGATAGTGGTCATTTAACAGAGTAAAGAGCATCAGACCATGAGACATACAGTGAATGGAGAGCTGGTTGAAGTTTAGTCGTAGGATGAGAAATATTTATAGTACCTCCTCTTGTTGCCGCCCTATCTCTGTCTCTTGGCGATCTGGTTGATGCTTCAGAAACTGTGCCACATATGTCATGATGGACTTCTCATCTGGCTTGTCCACATCCACATCTAAATCATATTAAAGAAGATTTAAATGTACAGTAATTTTACAATTTCCAACAAAATTTTAATAAAATACAGGTTCTGCAATGAACACCCTGTGTTTCAGATGAGGCCCATAACTTCTTTTCTTCCTAAAAAGGTTTGTTGAAATTTTTACTCACTCATTGCGGTTCATTGTTCTGTGGCTAATTTGATTTAATTTATTTTTTCAGTCACAGTCATTTCATTTTAGCTTTACCTCCCGTCTCCTGTTTTTGTGCATCCATGCATTAACATTTAGCTTTAACACACCTTGAAATTACCTACTCAAATTTCAAAGATTGTATGCACAACATATTTGGTGTATTTTGAAAATGATACCAGGCAGTAATTGCAACTTTCGATAATGCTATAGCAAGAATCTGAAACATTTGATGATTTGATGCTCAAGAAATATTTCTTAATATTATCAGTGTTGAAAATGGTTGTGCTGCTTAATACTTTTGTGCAATTTTAAGCTTTTTGTGCTTAATATCAGGTGCAATGTCTAAAAAACAGCAATCGTCAAGTCGATATGGTCTGGCAGAGGCTTCACTGATGGTTACCTTTACAAAAGAACCATGGCTAACAATGTCCCTTGACTTAGCATTTACTATTTGTTCAGTCAGCTTTACCGTGGCTAATGGGCCACTAATCGTTCAAATGTCAAACTTCATTTGTCAGACTCCTGTAGGAAGCATGAGGAAGCTCAGATGGCGTCTAGCAGGTCGAAGACTTAACCCCTCCATTAAAAATTAATCAATCATATCCTCTGTGAGTGGCATGCTGCTAATTAGAATTTAAGCATTTGGCGCTTAGAGCCTTGTGCAACACAATTTGAAAGTACATAGTCAAAAAACAAACTGTGTCTGTCTGTTACTATGTACAAAGCAGCATATTTGTGAATTAACATCACAAACAGACTCTGCATCAAATCTCTAGTCATGATTTGGACCAAAAATTGCAAACATGAAACATGTTCTGTTTTTCTGTATGACTGGTATCACCTTCAGGATCAAGTAATCGTGGGATGCCCAGTTCTCTCTCAGCCAAAGAGAAGGCCTCTTCTAGGTTATCCCTGTTGGGTCTCCTCCAAACACGTTCCATGTTAACCAGATGGGGTCGCAAAGCAAAGATGACAGCATGAAAAGCCACCCCTGTGCGCCAGCTGGGACCAAAGTCCTTCACATCCAGACCCAATCTCCTGAAAACACACACGTACGTATGTACATTATGTCAAAACCCAGGAAGAATGCTGTCATATGCATTACTTAGGGAAACGGGATTAAAGAACAATATATTAATTCAATGCCTTGCACAAGCATAACACAGTTCTTACTTTGTTGCTGTGGTCTGCACCCATTTGAGAAGGGCTCTCTTGGCCCCGCCCTGAAAAGAAAGGCGGGGCTTGCGTTTGACAGGTGGGCTGCTGGTCTCAGTGCTGTTGGAGCTTTCCACTGATGAATTGCTGCTAGATTGAGGTTGTAGGGCTGGTAGATGGCTGGTGAGCTCCTCTATCTGAACAAGAAGATGCAGAGGAAGTGTCAAAAATGTTATTAACTACTCTGTTATTTTGTTAAATTATAGTAACTTAAAGACATTATTGTTGAAGAATGGTTGAAATATTTATGGAAATTACTCGAATATTTTTTACCTGGAAATATAAGATGATGGTCCATATCAACCCAAGCACAATCGAGGGTCTGCCGTCTACCACATCTGTTGGGTTGATGTTAACTAATTTAATCTGTTAAGCAAAAAAGAAAGAAAGCAAGCAAGAAAGAAAGAAAGAAAGAAAAACTGTCATTATTTACTCACCCTCCTGCCACTTCAAAACCACATGACTTTAATTCTTTTGTTTACACATATTGAAAGTGAATGATGAATGGCTGTCAAGCAAGACTTTCAGTGAATACTGACTAAAATTTATTGCAAGCTATTGTTAGAGTATTAAATTACTAAAAATAAAAATGAAATAAATATAAATGAAAGTTAAATAGAAATATTTCTAACTAATCAAACTAAATTATTAATATTAAACTATAATTAAAATGAAAACTGTAAATATAACAATAAAAGCTAATTCAAAATATTAATACACACTAACATTGTATATAAAATATTCTAATATGGAAGAGAGCAGCTCAAAATCCGTTTGTATTCCTTGAACAACAGCAAATCATACAATTTTGAAATGAAATGAGGGTAAATAAGCACAGAATTTTTTATTTTTAGGATGCTGATTTTGCTATCACTTTTATCAAGTCAATTCTTAATTCAAGGTTACATTTGGAGAGATCCTGTTTCAGAAAGTGATAATGTCAATCATAGACATATAGACAGTCAAAAGAAAGGTCACACTAACCGGAGATCCTCTGTAGGCCGACTGAAATGGTGACAAAACAAAGGGGAGAAAGACAGAGGAAGAAGAATAGAGGTCATTGCATGCTGTTAACAAAAGTGTGTCCCATCAACTGAAGGACAGGTGAGAAGGAGCCTCAGCTCTGAGATAACCTAAAACCCTTCAGTGACAGACAAGGTGTGCACTGCACACATGCACCTATTGTTATAAACACACCAAGGCACAAATACTAAAAACCAGCCACACATAAGTCGAAAGAATGAAAAATCCACACAAAAATACATAATCATAACATCCACTTACTTAAAAAAAAGCCCATTAATTTAAAATATTGTGTCCCATATTGCACATAAAAGTACACTTCAGCATAATACAAAACAGTTCTGTACTCTAGTTTCTCCCACTGTGCTCCACGGGGAATAGAGAGAGATGAGAGAGGGATGACAGAGGCAGATAAGATGGTGAAATTAGCTTACGAAATGAATCCTCAGCTTCTTGAGAGATCAGATACTCAGACAGACAGACCACCTCAGGAGTGGGAGGCTTAGCTCAGCTTCATTCACTGACAGGCTGTATAATTACAGTCTGAAGCACAGCTATACAGTAAATGAAATATCCGTGCTTCTCCCAAGAGAGATGATATGAAAAAATACCCTGTTTATAAAAGGGGGGAAAATGGGCCTCATTTCAAATCGCCATGGTTTTACTATAAAATATTAGACAATGACAGCAATCCTCTTCTTTTTATCTATTATAACAGCACTACATTACAGTTTTTCTCAGTCGCTTTGGTGCATTTCTCAAATCATCCTTAATATTTGCAAAAATGTATGTGCATTTCTCAAAACAATTCGTACAACCAGCACCCACAATGGATTACCTGCAAAAGCCTGTAACTTACTCAAAATCTTTAGTTCATCTCTCAAAAGTAAGTATTTATGTCAATGAACATATCAGTGCCATCAGAATGAAAAGTACTTGTGCCATTGTTCACAAACAAGATAGTCAAAATGCTTAGTCATGTTGTCAATATAACAGGGCACTGTTAGTATTACCTAAAGTAAACTATGGCAGCATTTTGGATGACAGTTACTGTATTGAACTGTATGCCATATGCTTATGTATGCCATATATCCATTTAAAAAGTACAAATTTACTCATTACGGTATGTGGGACATTGATTGAAAGAGACTGGATAGAATTCCACTTACACTTTTACTAGTGGTCTGACCAAAAAAAAAAAACATTACAATGTCATTGTGGCATAGAAAAGGAAAAAATAAATATGGGCACAAAGATGAAAATAAAAAAAAATAAGAAAGTCCATTGTTAAGAAAAATGGTAAAATTAACTTTTGAGTGGTCAAATATTTTTGTGACCATTAAACTGTATACACTACCTTTCAAAGGTTTAGGGTTGGTAAGAATTTGTATGTTTTTGAAAGAGGTCTCTTATGCTCACCAAGGCATTCATTTGAAAACACAGTAATATTGTGAAGTATTATTACTTAATTTAAAATAACTGTGTTCTATTTGAAAATGTAATTCATTTATTTAAGTGATGGCAAAGCTGAATTTTCAGCAGTTTTCAGTGTAACATAATCCTTCAGAAATCATTATAATATGCTGATTTGGTGCTCAAGAAACATTATTAGTAGTAGTATTGTTGAAAACAGTTGTGCTGCTTACATTTTTTTTTTTACGAAACTGATCATTTATTTCAGGGTATATATGTATATATATGTATGTACAGTATGTATGTATGTATTTTGTGTTGTATTGTCTGTTATAATGCCCTTTTCACAACAGGGTCCTAATTTAGGGATTTATTTTGTGAAAATGCCTGGCTGACTGTACATTAATTAGTCAATTTGTTCAACTTTGGCAACCACAGACAGAGAGACTGTATGTGGGAAGCTCAGCGCCACATATACGGCACCAGAGACAGATTTATTAGAAGTTGACTCAGGACTAAACCTCAATAAGGTGAATGATTTCAGTCTGACGTGTCAACATCACCTCATAACTCTATTCTGAGCCATGTAGCATGTTCTAATTAATCCATAAATCCTTAATTTGTTGGTGATTTAAATGAAACAATTTCTTGGTTAGAATGAGAATTAAACATGAAATGAAGAACAGGGTTTTCCTTCTCTTTGTCTCTCGTGAGACAGTGTTGTAAAGCAAGAGAGCAGTATCAGAGCAGAACGGGGAAGAGGTTGTGTAGGTCAGACTGAGTGGTTATGACCTGGAGCTGTACACCTGAGCAAAGCACTCTGGGAATGGACTGCCTTACCCTCCTGCCCTCCAGAAACTTCAGTGCTCTTCCCACGTTAGCAACCCAGTGGATCCTCCTCAGCTTGCGGCCCTGTTCACATGGCTGTCAGATGGGAGAAGATAGCACAGCAGACAAAAGGAAAACGGTGATAGACAGAGGAAAATGTAAATACCCAGCAAGGAACAGGGAGAAAGATATGAAAACTCAAAACAGAGAGAGAAAAAAAGCAGTTGGGCCGGATAGTTATATACAAATAATACAGAGAAACAGAGAATACAAAGATGACACCAAATAGATTGCAAGAGACAAAAGTAAAAAAGAAAAAAAAATATCAAAGGACCATGTGTCACTTGCTATATTGATTGTTACAGCACTGCAAAGACCTGAGGCACCAATAGCCTTATGGGATTGTTCACTGAGAGTGTGGGTATTCATGTGTGTGTGAGTAAGCGAGCGCTAATAAAGTGCAGTGAATACACTTCTTTTTTTTTTTTGGTAATATGTCTTGTATTATCATGTTTGCTATCATTTAAAACAATGTCATAATTTAAAAACAACGTTCTATATTACAGAAATTTAAATCTGACTGGGACAATGATGCTTGATACCGTAAAAGTCATTTGTACAGCTGTTAAGTAACTTCGATTAACAAAGGAAAATCAAATACCAAAACAACTAAAAGTGCATTTTTCTTACCAGTTTGTGACCAGACAGGACTTCAAGAAGAGCTAACAACATCACTCCATCTTTCACATCTTCAAAGAGATCAGAGACCACTAAAGGAGGATTATGCTGGGGAGGGAAAAAAATCCAGTGATGATTTGATATTTTACTTCAAACTATTTAGACATCTACAACGTACAAAAGACAGATAGAACAATACACAGACAGAATGACAGACAGAAGGACAGAAAGAACAATAGACCGATAGAATGATATACAATAGGAAGAATGATAGATAGAACAAAACAGAACGATAGAATGATAGTTAGAATTACAGATAGAACAACAGATCGAATGAATGATAGATAAAGCGACAGAATGATAGAATGATAGATTGATAGAGTGATAGAACAATGGAAGATAGAATGAGACAGAACAACAGAGAGACGGAAATATATAGAAAAATAGATAGAAAGATAATTAAAATGATAGATAGAACGATAGAATGACTGATGGAACGAAAGATAGAACAAAAGATAGAATGAAAAACTGTTAGATAAAACGACAGAATAATAGATAGAACAACAGACAGATACAACGACAGAATAACAGAATAACAGACAGACAGACAGACAGACAGACAGATAGATAGATAGATAGATAGATAGATAGATTGAATATTAGATGATAGATAGACAGACAGACAGACAGACAGATAGATAGATAGATAGATAGATAGAATAATTGAATATTAGATGATAGATAGATAAAACGACAGAATGATAGATAGAACAACAGACAGATACAACGACAGAATAACAGAATAACAGACAGACAGACAGACAGACAGATAGATAGATAGATAGATAGATAGAATAATTGAATATTAGA